TGCCCAAGGAAGTTGTGGATGCCCCCTCCCTGGAAGTGTTGAAGGCCAGGTTGGATGAGGCTTTGAGCAACGTGGTCTAGTGGAAGGTGTCCCTGCTGCTGGCAGGGGGGTTGGAACTGGATGATCTTTAAGGTCCCTTCCAACCCAAACCATTCTGTGATTCTATGAACACACAGATTCAGCTGATCCCAGCCTGAGTCAAAGGACTGTTACAAACAAACTGGTGCTTAAGTGTCAGTGCTGCTAAAACAGCAGCAGGATCACAAGTTTTCCTTGGACTAGAGATTTCTGGCAATTCCAGTTGGAATTGTATATTTTTCCTATCTTTATTTATACTTTGAAAACTGGACTTCAATTAATTCCTTGTTGTAAAATGAGTCAAAAAGGGGGAAGTTGCTTCCCAAGCAGCACTGGAACAGCATGCTTGGAAGTATTGACTGTATCTAGTGAGTTTAATATCTGTCCTTGCCTGTTACATAGGACTAACTTTAGGTGCTTGCTGGTAACAGAATTTATAGAATCATAGAATAATCAAACAAATTATTGGTGCCTCTTTAGAAAGTAACAACTTTCAGCTTGTGATTTTTTAAAAAATTATTTTAAAGTAGTTCAGATAGAGGATTTAAAAGTAAAATCTTCAACCAGACTGAATAATTTCACATAAAATCGAAGCAACTCTTTTAAAGTTTCCTAGAGTCCAGATTAAACCACTTAGTGTTAAATGTCAGCAAACTGAAACAGGAATTTTCATACACAAAAACACACTTTCAATTGAATTAGTGATAGAATGATTAAATTCTGTAAAAATCACAGTTGTTTAAGTTCAGATGACAAAAATCACAGGGAAACAATGGTATCAGGCAGCTCTGTCATTTTTAAGCCTGAGCAATGCATGAATGGTAATGCCATAAACCCCTTGATCCGTGGTACCCCATCGCTAAGATCCTGCCGCAAGGAGCAAGCCTCAGGGATAATTCAGCTCCTAAGCCAGCTGCAGTGGAAAGCAGGGATCACATCAAGACCAATTTGGAGCAGATTAATGAAAAAAAGGCTTAATGAGCCGTGTACCTCTCCAAGAATGTTTGTAAAATCCATCCCTAATGAGGGTGGGGAGATAGAAGAGCTTGTGAGAACCAAGTGAGGGCCGTTAACCTTGGGGTATTAGGAGATCCTGGAGAGTCTTAATTCTTGTCACAAGGTCAAGCTTTTACAAAGCAATTATTAAGGATCTCCATAGTATCAACATCCAGACCCACACACATACTCAAAGCCTTTTAACCTCAGGGATTCTGGCCTCATTTACCTTCTCCTACTAATCACTTCTAATTTTTTTTTCCTGCTTTCCTTGTTCATAAAGGTACATGTTATAGTAGTTATACAGATGATGTATCTCCTGGCTCGTGCAAGCAATCTAATTGTACTAGTCAGTGTCCAAACCAAAGGGGAGAACCACTTTGCCTTTCTCTCAGCTTGATTTCTGTGCCTCTCCATCGAAATGAAGAAAGAAAGGAAAATTCTCAGCTCTTTCCCGTACTGGGCCTGCTGTTCTGACTTTAATCTGGAATGAGGACAGGTTGGCATTAATTCCCCCCATTGATTTGGATTTTTCCAAAGTACAAGAAAATACTCTGCCACAAGTGATCAAATTGAAGCACTTTATGAGTCCCATCTTCTTCTGATCCAGATATATATGGAAAGTAGAGTGCTGGATAAAAAGAGAAAAATATAATCTTAATTCAAAGCCTATAGTGTGACAGTGAAGTCTGACATGACTACTACAGTAATTTCTGCTCGTGCAACTAAGGTATAGAATTTTATAAATCTCATTATGGAGTTGCAGAGCTCAGCTAACAGTTTGACAGCTGGATTGTGCTGCTGTCAGTTCATTCGTGTGAGGGCATTCTCATTAAAACCCCTGGGAGCAAATAAGCTAAGAAGCGATGCGCTTAGGAGTAGCAGAGTCTGTCCTTTCGTTGAGACAAATTCATTTCTTCCTGGGCAATTCTTCTGGGATTTGCTCTGGACAAATGGGCCACTTTGATGGAAATGAAATCACACAGGCAGAATGTTAACTGAAATACAGAGTTAAGTGTGGGACAGTGCAGGAAGAAACACTTGTTTCAGGTAAATACATTCTTATAGCTGTCCAACTGCTAAAATGGGCAAGATTGCTTCTAAAAATTGCTGCTAAAAGCAAGAAAAGTTGAAGAGTTTCTTGGTAAATACTGTCTGTGCAATACTGTGTCTAAGTCTGTTCAAAACCTGAGTGGTTTAACTTAATTTGATTATTTCCTTTCTCGGAAGCTGCTGTCATATACTAAATTTATTTTCTTTTCAGATTGGAACACAGCTTGTGTGATCACATTTAAAACTCTTTAAGTGTTGAAATGTTAAGGACCAGCTACAACTACCTTGACTGTAGAGTTCTACAGTTTTAAATCTGGGCTGATGGCTTTTTTTCCTCCAAAGACACCTTCTCTAATGGGGCTGGATGGGATCTACCCAAGGGTAGTGAGGGAGCTGGTAGAACTGCTCACCAAGCTACTTTCCATCATTTTTCAGCAGTCCTGGCTGCCCAGGGAGGTCCCAGTGGACTGAAGGTTGGCAAATGTGATGCCCCTCTACAAGAAGGACTGGAAGGAGGATCTGGGGAACTACAGGCCTGTCAGTCTGACTTCAGTGCTGAGGAAAGTTATGGAGCAGATCATCTTGAGTGCCATCACAGGGTATGTACAGAACAACCAGGTGATCAGGCCTGGGTTTATGAAAGGCAGGTCCTGCTTGACTAACGTGGTCTCCTTCTATGACAAGGTGACCTGCTTAGTGGATGAGGGAAAGGCTGTAGCTGTTGTTTACCTGGACTTTAGTAAAGCATTTGACACCATTTCCCACAGCATTCTCCTGGAGAAACTGGCTGCTCATGGCTTGGACAGGTGTACTGTTTACTGGGTGAAAAACTGGCTGGATGGCTGAGCCCAAAGAATGGTGGTGAATGGAGTTAAATCCTGTTGGTGGCCGATCACAAGTGGTGTTCCCCAGGGCTCAGTACTGGTGCCAGTTGTGTTTAACATCTTTATCAATCATCTGGACGAGGGGACAGAGTGCACCCTCAGTCAGTTTGGAGATGACACCAAGCTGGGTGGGAGTGTTGATCTGTTAGAGGGTAGAGAGGCTCTGCAGAGGGATCTGGACAGGCTGGATCGATGGGCTGAGGCTGATTGTATGAGGTTTAACAAGGCCAAGTGCCAGGTCCTGCTCTTGGGTCACAACAACCCCATGCAACAGGTGTGTGTGTCCAGAGAAAAGCAACAAAGCTGGTGAAGTGTCTGGAGCACAAGTGTGATGAGTTCACAGCTGAGGGAACTGGGGTTGTTGAGCCTGGAGAAAAGAAGGCTGAGGGGAGACCTTCTGGTTCTGTCCAGCTCCCTGAAAGGAGGGTGGAGAGAGGTGGAGGTTTAGATTGGATATTTGGAAAATGTTCTTCACCAAAAGGGTTGTCAAACTCTGGAACAGGCTGCCCAGGAAAGCGGTGGAGTCCCCATCCCTGGAGGTATTTAAAAGCCTGTGGTGCTTGGGGACATGGTTTAGTGGTGGACTTGGCAGTGTGAGGTTTATGGTTGGAGATAGTGACCTGCTGGCTGGCTCTGCAGGACCCAGAGCTGGCCTGTCCACTCCAGCAGCCCTTCACCCTGGTAGCCAGCACCCACTGACACACCCTGCCTTCTGCACCTGCCTTTCCACCTCACCTCACCTCGCCTTGTGTCACCTCATCCCCTTCTCCCTCATCTCCCATGGCAAAACCTCGTCTGGGGGGCCCTGATGTGATTTTACAGTCACACACAGGCTGCATGCAAGGAGAAAACCGAGTCAGCTACGAGACAGAGGATAAGCTGTGTGTGTGGATTTTTCGTGGGAGGCAGCAGGTACGCTGGTGAGGTTCCCCCTCTAGGCAAGTGTTCCCCCATAGTGTTGCAGTACGACACGTGCGCCTCCTAAATAAACTCCAGAGGAGGAGGGATGGCTGGTGAGGAGTCTGTAGACCACAGCCAAAATGAAGCAACAGGTCTTGAAACCACAGCAGATGTTATTGCATAATATAATAATGTGATAAGGGCGAGGGATCCTTGTTGGAAGTGCTGCTGCATCTGTACTAAGTGGAAGGAGATGAATTACCATTGCAGGGGGAAAGCTGGGCTGCCAGGAAAGGGATATTGCGACCTACAGACTCTTATAAATGTGGTACCATCCTGATTAGCTGTACACTTAAAATTGCTCACCACAAAAAAGACCAAGAGCTCACGATAGCAGCAGTAACGGGGCAGTGAAGATGATTTGCAGTTAGGCAGAGAAATGGCAAACTTCAGTACGAGGATTATGCAGACTCGCAGAGTAAGAAAGCACACAAGTCACCTTTATTTAAAAAATAGTGTTTCTACCACTCAAGCTTGGTAAGGAAAGTTGATGGCGTCTATCAAGTACGCTCTAGAGCACTAATGATTCCCAAAGAGTAAAGGGTGTGAGACCTACACTGGGATGGAGAGGTGGGTTTTGTCACTTTCCCCATAGACTGTGACCACATCAGCTGTTGCGACTGCGTTGGCGTCCTGATGAGCATCACTTTGGACTGGATTACTTGCCAGTGAATGTAGGTGCTAATTAAAGTATGGAACCATTATTTGTGTTTCAGGTTAAGCCATTAAATCTTAGTTTCATTGTTTAACAAATTCATGTCTAGAACATGTGGAAAGACTGAATAGTCTCTTGAAGAAATTAATAGCTGTATATTTATTATCACAAGGAGAACTGAGGCGTGCTAGATGTTTCAGCAAAGACATTAGTACTAAGAATTTAATGTACAAGGATGACATTGATGTTGTTGACTCGTGTAATCATAAAAGTACAAAGGAAAATCTCTTAAAAAAAAAAAAAAGAATCAAGTCAGTTGCCCAGTCAGTTTATCAAACTACTGAACAGTGGGAATTGTGTTTTTCATTCTGGTTTTAAGAGAATTTCTTCATGAAGTGCAGTTTGAGGTAGGCAATGATAAGGAATATTATTGTCATGCAGGCAAGAGCCAGGTGGTTCTGCCACAGACCCCAGCTACTCGCATCAATGCCTTGATTTTTCAGATACTCATCTCCGGTACACCACCTACAGAGAAATACACACACATTTATAAACTTAGGCAGTTTGAAGTATCTAGGAAGATCCTTAGAAGTTGTAGTGTGATTTCATGTCTATAGGAAGCCAGGCAAACAAACACCAGCTGTATGTGACTGTTTTATTCTCTGTTTTCTTGTAGCTACAATCAGTTTCTTGTAGGAAGCTGAAAGGGATTTTGTGAGGCTGTAGGATTGTAGTGCGTGTGTATGCGCTTCAGTAAACACAGGTTAGAGAAAAGTGAGGAGCATAATGCCAGATATTTCTAGTTTTATAAATACAGAATCATAGAATGGTTAGGATTGGAAGGGACCTTAAAGCTCATCCAGTTCCAACCCCCCTGCCATCAGCAGGGACACCTTCCACTAGACCAGGTTGCTCAAAGCCTCATCCAACCTGGCCTTGAACACTTCCAGGGAGGGGGCATGTCAAATATGACAATAAGCACAATGTTCTCTGCAGACAGAATGCAAAAACCCAGCCAAAACTTCATTTTCTCTATAAAAACACACAGATTCTGCTGGTCATCAGTGAGTATCTCACAAACTAATGCTCTGGGACTTTGTAAGGTGCTGGTGGTGGGATTTATTTTCATGTACCAATATACTTACGGCTGGCTTATCTGTTGATAGTTATAGTTGCTGATTAAATTGGTGGTGTTAGTGCTGCTGCAAAAGTTCAGGCCAGTCAATTCATTGATTTGTAAAGCCTTTTAAAGCAAAAGAAACAATGACAATGGAAATCAGTAGGTAAAAGAACGATTACATTAACAGGATGACATATAATTCATTAACAAGCTGACATATAATTCTGTTTAAATTTATTCTAACAATGTGATGGTATCACTATTTATTCTGTTGGCCAAATCCCCATTTTTTTAACCAAGCAGCATATTTTTTTGCCTTTCAGGAGAGGAATGTATGCAGTCCATACCCTGTAATGCACGTGCATCACCAGGCTTTAACACCTCCCCTAGGCTAGACTGTTTCTGCACGGGCATATTAAACCCCAAATTTCTCTGCAAAACATCACCCTGGCTTAAATTATCAGAAATTAGGAGAGAAGTTTTAGCTTGATGAGGTTTTTTGATTGATGGAGAAGCAAAGAATTGGTTTTTAGGGATAATATTGTTCTTTACTTGGTATTATTTCTGTCCAGCTACATTCCAGTGGATGTAGTTGTTTGGTGTCTCTTTTATATGGAGTGTTTCCACGTTACAGAAATGAGCTCTTTTGAGCAGCAGTGGGTGTTGGTTGATGAGAAGCCTTTCTCATTTTGAGAGACTGCTCTACATTCTGAGGTTACTGTATTTAATTAGCTTACCTTTTACTCATTAGCCTACAAAGGCTGGAGTTTTCTTTATCATGAGTAAAGACATTCCTTTCTAGCAAATCTTTTCCAAGTCTGTGCACGGGAAAATACAGCACTTACTGTCATTCCATATCGAGGGATGCTAAAGTATTTGAGCCAGGAGAGCCAGGACATGATGCTTGTGAGATTGACCAGCAACCCAGAGAAAATCTAGAAGCAAGAATTACAAAAAAAACCCCAACAACAACAACAACAACATTACTAATTATATGGTGATAACTTGTGTTCTTCTCCAGCTCTTGACTCTGCTTCTTCAGATTAAAAGCAAGTGGGAAGGCATTTCTAGAGGAAGAAACTCTTCCAGTAGAGGAACAGGGGAGAGGGAAGGAATAATTTCTGTTACCCAGCTTTGGGCCATAACCCCACATGGTCCATGAGCAACAGGGAATGCTTTCACCCATGCATTAAACACTGATGTGTCTTGTCTGTGGGTCCCACGTGAGCTGTCTGCTGTAACTTGGTTGTGTGGAGCTGCTGGAGGTGTGCACTTGGTTTTGCTTGTGTGCCCTGAGTTTGAGGCCATGTGGGTTTTTGGCTGTTGGTTCAGCACTGCCTCATTGTTTATGGTGCCTGTCTTCTAACTGCAGCTGTTAGTGTGTTGTCCCATCCTAACGTGCTCGATGGTTGGCTCTGGGGAGACCTTCTAGCAGCCTTCCAGTATCTGAAGGGGCTCCAGGAAGGCTGGGGAGGGACTTTTCACAAGGGCAGGGAGTGACAGAACAAGGGGTGATGGCTTTAAACTGGAAGAGGGGAGAATGAGATGAGATATGAGGAAGAAATTCTTTGCTATGAGGGTGGTCAGACACTGGCCCAGGTTGGCCAGAGAAGCTGTGGCTGCTCCTCCCTAGAAGTGTTGAAGGCCAGGCTGGATGAGGCTTTGAGCAACCTGGTCTAGTGGAAGGTGTCCCTGCTGATGGGAGGGGGGGTGGGAATGGGTGGTCTTTAAGGTCCTTTCCAACCCAGACCAGACTATGATTCTATGAGAGCAACTACAGTCATGATCTCAGAAAGCAGGAGGCTGGGGGGGTCGTGTCCTCAGCCAGCCAAATTTGTCTTTGGCAAAGCTAAAGGAGAGCAAACTAATGCAGTATGGTGGCTGCTGGAGCCACAGAGAAGAGGGCAGAGGAACCACTGTCCTTCCCTCTCACACCCAGCCCCCCACCCCCTGGTCCTTGTTAGTTAAAAGGACAAATCCCCACAGTATCAGAATATTCAGATCAGACAAATCAGGATATTTGACATACTCGACCCCACAGGGTTTTGGGGTTTTTTTTTTCAGAATTCAGCTGAACTCTGTGCTGATAGGATTTCTAGATTTCAACATTTCTAGGATTTCAAGATACAGTCTAGAAAACTGAATAATGCTACTCACAATCATAAAAACAAACGCGATCGTCATGAGCAGGTTTGCTACAGCGACCACGCTCTGTCCTGCTGCAATGGCCAGTGCCATAGAAGTGGCTGTGTAGGACACCATCGTAAGGGTAAACATCATTGTAAAGAAGGCTTCTACAGTTGGTTTCAAACCTTAAAAATCAGAACAAGAAGGGTTTCAGCATGATCCTGCCAAAAGCTTTACCATAACCTGAATGCTACCCTGACTTAGGTGGTGTCTTCTGCCTACAGAACACATTCTGACAGTGCAAGCTGGGACTGGGACTCAAGACTGCAGTGGGGTTTGTGACAGGATGAATAAGTAGTGTGCCTGTAACTGCAGTGACCCTGCAGATAGCAGAATGGGTAGAAGTGGTGGTACTGCACTCCACACAGTCCAAGGTGAAGGCTTCACCGTGGCTTCAAGTTGTCTGTCAAAGGAGACACGTCTAGTGTGCTTCCGTGACCAGAAGTCGTACAGCATTTCACTTGTTCCCAGCAGAGAGCTCTCCTAATGGACCTACTGGCCTTTGGGTGGCTGTAGATTTGGTAGCAGGGTCTATCTCACTCCAGGGTCACGGTCTGAGAGCCCCTTGCTGATGCAGCCTTGTTTCCTATTCCTTAGGGGGAAAAAAAACTCAGACCCAATTAAACTGGGATTATTTTAAAATTTTGCTTGCACTTTTGAGCTTTTGGGATATGCCAAAAGGGTGTCATGATCTGAAACCTCACCCTAGGAAAATGATCTCTTTGGGACATGTTTTGAGGATGATGTTTGAAGGTGTTCTAGGCTTATAAAAGTTTGTGCCAGCAATTTTCAAAATCTGCTTAGTAACCAGAAGGCATTTTGCCCAAAATGAACAAGCTGATATTAATTCACACAATATAAAGTTCTTAAAACAAAACTTCTTCTTTGATAGGTGTTTCTTGCAAGGATGGAAAAAGGATCTTGTAAAAGTTACTCTGAGCTAAGATGGCCATAAATGAAAAGTAATAAATCAAAGCTATGTAGCAGTGCTTATGGCATGATTCCTCCTAGGGATGGTGGAGATGAGACATGTCACAGATTCTGACAGGAATGCTTAAATCTTTGAAGGTGTGTCTTTTGTGTGGTGTGCTAAAAGTAAGCCCAGTAACCACTGCTGTGCCTACCTAGGGCTTTAGCCTATCTAAATATACATGTATACATGCATGTATATAAAATACAAGTGTCTCCTTGATTTTTGAAGGGGGTGTAATGAGACTGTAGGAGACCATACTTGCCTAACATGAAGTAAATTATACAGGTGAAGATGATGCTTGGTATAGTCCTCATGGGTATTAAATCAGCCATTAGCTTTGAGATGAAATAGGCAGATGTTCTGTAGTACCCACTGATATATTCATGTCTGAAAGACAAAGATATATACAGTGTGTGACAAATCTAATCACTAAAAAAACAGTAAGTTTATTTTCACCTGGAGACAAATGAATTCTAGCTCAAACTGGAAATAAAGAGTTCTTTCATGGTTAGGCTGTAATGCAAATGTCCAGTCAAACACCCATTAGAGTAATAGTGGCATTTCCATAGGGAAATGAATATAGATCCTTGTGCACGTGGTTTTTAGTGAATATATGTTGTGGCATCAAATCAGAGAGGTAAAGCTTAAATATTTTTCCTTTTCTGTATGGTACACTCTGCATAGCTTTAAAGAATCCAGTTAGATAGTATTTAATGTCCTCACTAGCAAGCCACAAACTTATTAATACCTACATTGAGTATTCAGGGATTTGTTTTGTTTGGTTTGTTTTTTTCCTACATATATTAATCATTTTAAACTCTGAGCTATTTGCAATCATAGGTACCACTTTGGAGATTAGCAGACAACTCACTAGAGAGTGAGTGAGAGCATTTTCAATGAGCACTAACAGTGAAATAATTTGAAAACTCTGCACTAGGTGTATTTAAATGACAATCAGCTACAGCAGGGCAAACAAACTCCCTACCAGTGGTCCCTGATAAGCTTTTTGTATGTTTTACTTACGTGAATATCTTTTTTTCCACAACAAAGAGTTCAATAGCTGAGATGCTGCTGAAACACTGGTTGGTGGTCAGAAAGAACATTGCACCCACTCTGTAAAAAGCCAAACAGCAAGCTGTTATTAAAAATGTGATGTAAATGGAGCGTTTCTCTGTACCTAAATCCAACTGTAGTGCCTGGAGCTTGGCAGTACGTGACCTCCCATCCCAAATTCCACGGGAAAAGGCTTGGCTACAAGTCTGAGTCTGTCATGAGCCTGAAGCAGACGTGGTACAGGCAGTATTTGTTACTCTCATGCAAGGATAGCATGTTCTCTGATGCAGCCAAAGGATAGAAAATGAACTGATTTTCCTTCTTTTTTTTAAATGTAATTTCCTGATGCGTTAAAAATTCTCAATCCACGAGGCATTTGTCTGATGCAAACTGTGAGGAACTCAATAAGAAATGTGAAAAGTTTTCAGCTTTTCCACTGAAATGTAAGGCTTTGCTTTTCATATCCAATTTAAAACTAGGCTATTTTAAAGTAAATGCTATGAAGTGTTTCAAGACTGAGAACCCAGAGCTTTCTTAGTTGCAAACCCATTTGTCAGGTCGTGTACATAGAACTGTCAAAATGATACACAGACCAGAGTAATTTTAAAATCTAGCTTTAAATGCACCTTTTGACTTACTGCTGGTAAACTCAAGTGTGTCTATAGCAGCAGTTGCAAGATCAAAGCTTTAGTTACCCAGGTTTATGTAGCCAAGTTTGTATATTTCAATCTTTAATCTCTTTATCTTGAGGAAATCTTTGCAGAAAAAAAACCCTTTAAAATGCTGCCACGCTGAATTAAGCCTTTTTAATAGTTGTCTGCTCATCAGCATTCTCAGCAAGCAGACTGGCACTGAAAAATGTCATCCTACAGAAGCAGCGTTACTCACTTCACTTGGACTGCTTGTCCAAGCTACAGCAAGGCAGGGAAGAACTGCATCCCCTCTGAGTTTTGCAGGGACCTTTCTAGAGGCAGAAGAACATCCTCACTTCGAAGTCTCTAACATAGGCTTGGCCTTAGCTACTGATGTGAAGGTAGATGTATTTCATAAAGAGCTTGTGGATTCCTTCTCAGCTTCCAAGCTGTTTTTTATCCTATCACAACAATGAGGGAGCTTTATCAAATTTTTGGATATCCATTATCTAAACTGACTAACCTGTTCTGTAGCCCAGCAGAGTCTTCTTTAAGTCCAAAGAAAATGGCACCTACAACCAGTCCCAGGAAAGCTGTAACACACAGCTAGATGTAAAAAGAAAAAAGAGGAGGAAAAGCATTATCCTCATTTTTGCTTTCAAAGCTTCAGCAGTTTTTTTTAAAAATATGTAGCAGGTGAGTATAGATTGCCAGGAAGTATTTTCAGAAAGGAGAATTACAGAATCACAGACTGGTTTGGGTTGGAAGGGACTTTAAAGACCATCCAGTTCCAACCCCCCTGCCATCAGCAGGGACACCTTCCACTAGACCAGGTTGCTCAAAGCCTCAAGCAACCTGGCCTTGAACACTTCCAGGGAGGAGCAGCCACAGCTTCTCTGGGCAACCTGGGCCAGTGTCTCACCACCAGTGTATCATCTGTACACTGTGTAATTGACTCTTTTAGTCTGTCTTATTACAAATTCAGGGCTGATAGAGTTGTTGGCTTTCCAAGAAAGATCTTCTGGGTATTGACCTAGACCCCTTGGATAGCCCAAGCAGCTGTTCCACCACGTACAGGGGAGCACACAGGCTTGTCTACTCCCTTCTGAATTGCTATGCAGGGATGCGATAGGTGTTCTGATATTTGCAGTCTGTAACACAATTTAAATAGCAATAATACTACCAGCAACTGTCTCAAGGGTGTAATTTAAAAGACTGAAGTGTGTACATCACACCTTTTTAATGCTAAATGGAAATGACAAAAATCTTAGCAAAACTGATGGTATCAGGCAGCTCTGTCATTTTTAAGCCTGAGCAATGCATGAATGGTAATGCCATAAACCCCTTGATCCGTGGTACCCCATCGCTAAGATCCTGCCGCAAGGAGCAAGCCTCAGGGATAATTCAGCTCCTAAGCCAGCTGCAGTGGAAAGCAGGGATCACATCAAGACCAATTTGGAGCAGATTAATGAAAAAAAGGCTTAATGAGCCGTGTACCTCTCCAAGAATGTTTGTAAAATCCATCCCTAATGAGGGTGGGGAGATAGAAGAGCTTGTGAGAACCAAGTGAGGGCCGTTAACCTTGGGGTATTAGGAGATCCTGGAGAGTCTTAATTCTTGTCACAAGGTCAAGCTTTTACAAAGCAATTATTAAGGATCTCCATAGTATCAACATCCAGACCCACACGCATACTCAAAAGCCTTTTAACCTCAGGGATTCCCCTCCACACTGGCTGTTTGTTCGCTCACTATATAAACCACGATGAAGATAATTTATACCCTTGGCTTGGGATCACTTTTTCTATTGGCTTCTCTAGAATTGCTAAAAATTGCAGTGGGAGTTTTGCTGGTGCTGGGACTGCAGAGTTTGGCTGGTGAATTAGGGGATTCCTGAGGATTAGTCATTCTGCAGGAGTCAGCCAGGCATTCTTTATTTTTGAAGGCAATGTACAGCTTTGAAGAAATTAACACTTTTGGTGTTGATTCTTCTGAAAAAGCAGCACTGACAGGGCTGGTCATGTAGAACATGCTCACCTTCCATGGCAGGTGTTAGACTCTATTGTGGTCTTCATCAGACCTTCTCCAGAAGACATCATCACCATTATTTTAGGAACAGTCAAATGACCAAACAACACACACATTATGAGAATGTGAAAATATTTTTACACTTGAGCCAACTGCCAGCACTTCATTGTGTGCTGAAGGTTAATTAAGAATGCAAGTGTAATCTGTTAACTTCCCTTGGTGGGGGAGAAGATTTGAGGCCAAACCCCACAGTGCCAAGCCTGGACAATTAAGAGTCAAGTCTGAAGAATGTTTTTGAGCAAAGGTGTGAAACTACTGGGGAGAAAATTTGCTGCTGGCCAGGAGCAGCAGAAATAACCTGCTGGAAAAGATCTTGCCTTCCAAATCAGTAGCTCAAAAGTAATTACTGAAGAGTCCCTTATGCTGCTCGTTTGGGAGCATTCAGGACACCTTCTAGTGAGTCAGATCTTCAGACTTTGAACATTCTCTTTTCAGATGCTTATTGCAAAGTATCAAGAGGCAAAACCATCCCTTTAAAACCATGGGTTTTAAACCCTTTAAAGTCAAAACCATGACTTTATCTAAGTGGAATAAATTCAATGTATAACACAAAAAGATAGATACAAGTTGCATTACCTGAGCTATGGAAGCTTGAGGGTTTCCTACCAGATTTTTAAATGTGCGCTTGGACACCCATTTCAGCTGATGAAGGAAGGAATTGGCAGATGTGATTTGTCGGAAAACTACTTTGGTTTTCTTTTTGTTTCCCAAAGAAATATTCTCTAGTATTGCTTTTGTTTCTTGGTAGTAGGAAGAGTTGGAATAGTTTTCTGCTAACTGTTCAGCCAAGGTTTTCCCATATTCAGTGGGTTCTTCAGTGCTCTCTGCTGAAAAGATTAATAAGAAATACAACAGTTTCTATAAGATTGTTTAGGAGTTAAGGCAGGAGAGTTTTGTTGGGTTTGGGAGAGTTACTAACGAACCAGAAGAATTAATATGCACATTTAGTTCCAGTGATTCATTGCATTTAGTCTCATAGCCTGCAATTCAAAAGAGTCAGTATAAATAAGACCAAACCTCTGTGTTTTTCTGTGCAACCTGTCCCACAGGCAGTGGCTTCACAGCAAACTGACCTGGGAAAGCCTTGTCTGCTGATGAAGTTTCAAACTGACTTGTAATTAAAAAGTGATTCTATCCCACCCCCCAGGTTTCTGGAAGTGATCTCTTTCACAGATCAGATGTTTAGATCCAGGTAATCCTGCACGTGTCTACTTCACTCAAACTTTGGAGTCTGTCATAAAGAAATCTCAGCTGGAGCTCCTCTTTTTTTTTTCTGAACTGTAGCCCAGTGTGTGCTTTTTCCAGTGACAAATACAAAGTGTGTTGCCAGCTCTAGCACTAGCCAGACCCTGAACACAATCAGTATTTTTGTAAAAAGCTGGTTGCTTCTTGGATGAAGAAACTGTGTGTTTGGGCATGTAGCGTATTCATTATTTCATGTCTCTTTTTGTTCATGTGAAAAAAAGAGTGTGAGCTGTGAATAAGTAGCAACAGACAGGATGAAAAAGCGTGCTGCTCAACCTAGGTGAGATTGGGTTTGTTAATTTGGGGATAATTTCTGCCTTACCACAACTTCAGGGAAGCATCAGGAGAACACTGGTCCCCTGTCTCTACCTCCTCTTCCCACCTTACTCAGAGGAAGGAGGACGGTAATTTCATAACAGATAAACCAGATAAAATATAAATAT